ATGCATATGACAACGAGCTGGCTGCTTTAGAACTGAAACTTAGCTGAACAGAAAACTGTACCCACTCTGATTCGCTGTGCCTGAAGAGCTATAAAGCAAAACTTTATCTACACTTGGATAAATGAGCACTCGAGAGTGGCTAGAAGGCAGGTGAAATTGGTGCGGACTCTCGATCGTCTTGCCTGTGTATTATTATTATAGCTAGTACGTATACAAATACACCTACCAGTACTCCGAATCTCCGTCGGCACAAACTGCATAAAATACGACTTGGTGAAGTGTGTTTTTTTCCTTCTCTGCGGCTAGCTGCCCTTAGTATTTGACATTCTCATATTCAGTCGGTGCTGGTTCTACAGAGTCATCGTAATCTATGATTTCCTCCTTCACAATTCCAGAATCGGGCGAAGACGAGCGAAGCTTTGAGAATCGCTCGATGTTTTCTCACGGTTCAGGTTTGTTTTCTTGGCGCGTTCAGAAAATGACGTCACAATCAGAGAACAATAGCTTTGTCACTGGAACATAAATCTGTAATGGCGGACGCGAAAAACCCACATTTTCAAGCTTAATATTTTCACTTAGAGGGCGCCAAAGTTCACTTCAATGACCGAAACAGGTACAGCCACTTCTGATAAGCTGAAAAGAAAGCGTTTTTGTAACAAACTTGACATTAAATTTTGATCGTAGTAGCACTTTAACGTTGGCAAAAGCACCGTAATTGAAGCCGTCCAAGACGTCGTAAATGCGCTTTTTGATGCTAGTGATCAGTTTATCAAATTTCCTACAACACCGGCAGAAACAGCGGCATCTATAGAAACTTTTCGTGAGAACACACGTTCAGAGTTGGTTAACGTTGCCGGTGCAATCGACGGGACACACATAAAAATTATCGCACCCCGAGAAAATGCGCTCGACTATTTCAGTCGTTATCAGCAACACGATTTCATCCAGGCAGTAGTGGATGGAAGGGGCAAGTTTATCGATGCAGTGTGTGGTTTTCCGGGGAGTGCTCACGATGCTAGAGTGTTACGAAATAGCGAATTGTACTATAACGCAGAGAGAGGTAATATATTACAAGCTCCTGTTATAACTATTGGAGGGAGAGACATTCGTCCGTACCTGGTTGGAGATAGTGCGTACCCACCGGCTCCCTGGCTAATAAAACCTTTTCCCGAAGGAACAAGGGATCCAGAAGAGCAAACCTTTAATAAATAATTGAGCAGGGCAAGAGTGACTGTTGAAAGGGCTTTGGGATTTTAAAAAGCAGATGGAGGGTGCTACAGAAACGCTTCGACAGTGCCCTCGAGTTTGCTATTAAATGTGCTGTTGCATGTATAGTGCTGCATAACATTTGTGTAGACCAAAATGATCCCTGGGATGACGACGGGGACGATTATGACCGCGGCAATGACGATAGAAACGACGATGTAATGGAGGACGGAGATGAAATACGGGATTTGCTAAAGGATCTTGTTTGTGGAAATATTTGACTTTACTGACTTAAGAAATGAGAGTCTCATGAACTAGAATGCCTGTTTAATATTTTATTATATTTCCTTAAATTTATGTGATAGTTTAAACAACAACCGCAGCGATGGCGATGGCGTTTGTACTGTGGGATTAAACTGCTCTGCTCCTTGCTGCATACCATGACTTGAAGAATAATAAAACCCAGGAAATTGGAGAAATTCCCCTAGCCACTTCCAGGAAAGTTCAATGGAGACCCGGGTTGGTAAGGAGAGTACTGATTAAAAGGATCGTTTGGATATCTGTTCGCCATGATGGTGAGCTGAAAGTGCGGTCGAGTCTCTATATTGCGAAACCCTGCAGATACCAGGAAATCTGTCTGTCTTCAAACCTGGTGTCGACATATTATTGACAGCTCTCCATTGTTTTTTACCTCTTTTGCCCGATATGACCCGCTCCGAGGCAGGACATCGGATCCTTTGATCTTATGTCTTGGAAGCTCGTATGTCGCTAAGCGCGACATAAGGGTCGCGCTTGTCTGAGGCTAGCGATGACAGGTCAAACACCTATCCAAACACATTTGTCCTTGAACGCGACCCGTGCCTAACCATTCGCGGGAAGTCGCTGTAATCCTCACAATACTGGTGTAATGCCCCAATTCATGGCTTCTTGCTCCCCACAATATCACGTTATTGGCACTGGACGCGTAAAGGGGCATTAATTCACCAGGATTAGAAAGGGAAAACTCCGATAACGTCAATGGAATTTCAACTTTAGCCTACAAGAAAATTAAAAATGAAGCGCACCTTAATGGTTGGTTTTCAAAAATCTTTTAAGTCAGGTTTGGTAACCCAAACATCATGTGCTGATGCATTTCAAAATTTAACTACAACTTCAGGTTTTCTTACGTTAACTGTACGGTTCAGGCAAATAGCAAATACGTTTGCAAGTCTTCTATGTTTGATCACTCTTCGTGGTGCCACTGATAGTTCTATATCCTATGACGCAGAAAAGAAAAACAGAAATTAAAACGTGAATAGGCTATGTCCCAAAAAGGTCAGGTATAAACACATGAAGAACTTCTTAGATCATCGAGTTTCATTGACTACATTTCAAATGGAATGAATATCAGAATATCTTTTGCTCTACCTTGGTGACTCCTGTCTGCATGACCTCCAATAAACGAGTCAGTGACTCGCCTTTCTCCCAATTGGCACGATTAGATAGTTACACGGAGACACTGGACACTGAGTTAAGAAAATCATTTAATGCTGTTATTTGAACAATAATTTGTCCTTTTTTTTTTCCATGTATCTTCGACGAGAATGTACAAATTTACACTGCCTGGATGGTTTAAGTTAATTCTCCTGAAACAGAAAACGCAATAATATCCGCATGCTGCGTTGTTTTCCCTACTCAAGACCCACTTATAACAAAAACCGGATACTGAATTTTTCATCTCAAAACCATCATTACAAGCTATATGCTTATCACATAGCTGTGGCATTCTCAATTTTTTTCTACAATTTGAATTTGAATTCTCTTTGAAAATCTGTCTCAGAAATTAACATGATATGTTTTTTGGCATTATCAAAATCCACTATTCTTGCTCGTATAAACGTCTTTCTCTCTCCAGTTTTTTGCGCCAAGTTTCATTCAGCAATGCCATGTCTCCACTTTCGCTTTTGGCTAAATTTTCCCTCGAAAGGCAAGACTGTACAGTAAAAAACCTCGCTAAAAGTGTGTTTTTTCTAATACAAAAACTATTGAGATTAACTATTCCTGGTTGTTTGAAAGATAACTCCGTTTTTTCTTACCAAAATAGGCTTGCGCAACAGACGCAACAGTCGGCTAAGAGCTGATGCACTTAGACGAGCTGATGCATGGCAGGATCTCGGTGCTGCCACCGAGTCCCCTCTTCCCTTTGTCTCGTCCCAGTCCCAAAAGCCAATCATAAAGTCCCTAATCATAAAGGGGTGGATGTATTTAAATAACTATAAACAAAATATTAGAAAACTGACACTAAAGGTCAACACTGGTGATTAAAATGCTTAACAGCTGAAAACCAGAAAATCGTGTACTTACGTATTATAGTCGAATAGACAATCTTTAGGGCCAACTCTACTGAATAGTCTGGAAATTCGTCTAACTTAGCAATTAGCATCTGATTCAGGGACTGAATTACCCTTTCGAGCCGACCACCTGTCCAGGGACTTCGAGGCTTGGCCAGTTTGACTTGGACTTGAAATTTTTCAATTAGATTTCTGACTATAAAACACACAAACACACTTTCCAGTGCCATATCCAGAGCTTGAGAAAAGGGGTGGGGCAAGTCTATTGCAGTCCCCTCGGGCAAATCGAGCTATGTAACTTATTAATTGCGTTGCGGGGAAATCCCATCCACTGGCATGTAAAGTAAGAAAAACTCTAACTACTTTCAATTATCATATAGTAAAGACGATCTCTAACCTTACGATATGGCTAACAAACTGTTTTCCGTTATCAGTCTGGATTGTGTTGGGCACTAACGCTAAGCCCAAGCATAGGTCATACAACTGTAGAGCTATTTCTTCGGTGGTCGCTTTTCTAATAATCCTGGCCCACGAAAACCTATAAAGCAAGAGGAAAAGAAGTCAAAGATACCCATTTAATGTAATTTTTCCAGAAGAGGCATCTTTCGCATGAAAAACAATCCACGTTGAGAAATAATCTTCCATCACCAATACTATGTTTCTCTTTTTTTCCAGTACGAGTGTCTGTGTATTCGGTCAGGTCGATGCCCAGCCTTTCAAAAACACCGTATACACATATTGGTGTATTGTGGGTTTTCTTTCCTAGTATGGTCTTAAGAAACGAAAAAGTAAATAAAGGCTATTTGTATATATTTATATAAAAAAAATGGAAAGGCTGAAATTCGCAGAATAGCACCCACATATATCCGACATATATATGTAGCAGTTTTCAGTAGAAATTTCAATAACAAAGTTACTTTTCATGAACGTCTCTAAATTGTAAAGCTTTAAAATTAGCAGCAGCGTAAAAACGGTGCCCATTTTAACCGAACCACAAGCCATATGTATTTCAGTGGCTATTCTCACCTCTCAATAAGCTTTCTCTTTGTGGAGGTGGAATTAAAGCCTAGTTTTTGCTGTAATATATTTGTGTTAATGATACAATTATCTTAACATAATTATACTTATTTCCGAAAAAAATTTGATATTTCGTCATGAAAACCGCTTTCCGTTGCCTATCAGAGAATCGAAAGAATACCCTTGTTTACCTTGTGTGTCTGACACCACTTGCACTTCTTGATATAGAGACGCAAAATACTGGAGTCAACTTTGGCATATATTTGCCGCATTTAGAATATGGAGAGAAAAATTTTTTTTCTATGCGTAGAGTTACCACAGTAGCAATAGACTCAAAAACCAAAATGACCAAAAATATATACGCACCTCATAGTAACATTTTATGAACCCTAGATGGTTCTTTCCGTCATGGTGATCTTTCAGGAGAGTTTCGTACTCGTCTTCGCAGATAACCCACTTCTTAACGTACACTGGATTATCTTCTGTAGAAGTATCCTCGCACTTTTCCAGCTTGGCCAAAAAATTGTTACCGTTAACGTTGAGAATGACATACCTGTTGGCTTTCCTTTTGAAATTTTTCCTATGTGGGTCGACCTTAAAATCTATATGTTGACCATCTTTTGATCTCCTTTCATCCACGTAACGCTGAAGAACAGTAGCTATCCAGTCTATCGGCCTTTCATGGTTTGTTAAGTAAAAGAGAAAGGCCTCGTACACACAGCGTGAAACCACTTGGGAAATAAAAGAAAAGAAGGAAAAATTTGCCTGACTAAGAGACAATACCTCCCATGCGTTAAGGTCTCTGTTGAGTTTTAATTTTTGAAAAACAATTCAGAACAAATTATGCATTACTTACTTTCACCACGTGGCAACTGCGCCAAGGAAGGGGACTCGTAACCGTCGTGTAAAGTAAAGAAGCGTCAGATGCAGAACAAACAGCACCGTGCGAATAAACCCGTCAGCCTTGCAACGACACAAAGCTTTATACGATTTCAGTAGAAGCACGGAACAACTAATGCAAGTATTTCGCTGCCTCGACAACTATAAAACATTCGTTGCGAACTGCGCGACCAGGTGCCTCGAGATGACTGCCAATGATGACCGTGGTGCTCCTCGGTATTGAGTAAGAACAGTTTTTCTATTTTTTTATTTTTGCATTGTCTAATAGACGAATTCAAGTACGAATGACGTGTGTGCTTGTGTATGCCCATTCCGGGGGACTCCCTATAATGGCCTTTACGTGGCGACTCCACCCGAAAGGGGTATCTTTTTCGTGAAAAATCATGTGTAAGGATAAGGGAACTCGGAGCTGAGTCCCCCCGTAGAAAACATGGTTAGAATGTTATTATACTGTACTGTAGTTTTCGTGCGCTTCTCAGACTATACGTTATCAGATATCCCACGCTGGTCACTTTCACGCTCCAGTGTCCACACTTTGGGAGGCACATGTTATTATGGGCCTTTTAAATTCCCTTGTTAACGTGCTGAAAGCGTTAAAATCGGGTTAAAATTTTATGTTCTTTTTACTATTATCACTTCTTGTTTCCCTTGGCATTTAATTATCCAGTTGTTGGATGCGAAGAAGGAACAGACAGTAACTTCTCTTTTTATGCTTATCGGCAGGAATCACCACGGCAGTAGATCTTAGTTTTCGAGGGT